GAAAACAATCCCACTTAGGATAGCTATATAAAAAAATACTGGCTGGGTGCAGTGGCTCATGCCTGTAATCCCAACACTTTGGGAGGCTGAGGTGGGTGGATCACCTGAGGTCAGGAGTTGGAGATCAGCCTGGCCAACATAGCGAAACCCTGTCTCTACTAAAAATATAAAACATTAGCTGGGTGTGCTGGCGGGCTAGGGAGGCTGAGGCAGGAGAATCGCTTGAACCCAGGAGGTGGACATTGCAGTGAGCCGAGATTGCACCAATGCACTCCAGTTTGGGCAACAAGAGCGAAACTCCATCTAAAACACACACACACACACACACACACACACCAAAAAAATCCCAAAAAACTTAGGAATAAATTTATCCATGGAGGTGAAAGATCTCTACACTGAAAACTGTAAAACACAGATGAAAGAAATTAAACAAAAAATAAACAGAAATACATCTGTGTTCGTGGATTGGAAGAATTAACACTGTTAAAATATCCATACTGCCAAAAGCAATCGACAGATTCAATGCAATCATTATGAAAATATCAATGACATTCTTCACAGAAATAGAAAAAACAATCCTAAAATTCATGTGGAACCATAAAAGAACTTGAATAGCCAAAGTAATCCTGAGAAAAAATAACAAAGCTAGAGGCATCACACTGTAGCTGAGATCTGACATGAAAACATACTACAAAGCTACAGTAACTGAAACAGCATCATAGTGGCATTAAAACAGACACACAGATCAATGGACAGTATACAGCCTAGAAATAAATCCATCCATTGAACAGCCAACTGATTTTTGACAACAATGCCAAGAACACACATAGGGAAAGGATAATCTCTTCAATAAATGGTATTGGGAAAACTGGATCTACAAATGCAGAAATATGAAAGTAAATCCTCTCTCTCACCATATACAAAAAAAAAAATCAACTCAAAATGGATTAAAGACTTAAATATAACACCTGAAAATAAAAATCTAGTAGAAAATGACAAGACAGAAGCCCCATGACATTGGTCTGGGCAATGGCTTTTTGGATATGACCTCAAAAGCATAGGCATCAAAAGCAAACATAGATTAATGGGATTACATTAACCTCAAAAACTTCTGCACAGTAAAGGACATAAGCCTCAGATTAAAGAGGCAACCTATAGAATAGGGGAAAATATTTGTAAACCATATATATTTGATTAATATCCAAAACATATAAGGAACTCAAACAACTCAAGAGCAGGATAATAAATAGCCCTATTAAAAAATGGGCAAAATACCTGAAAAGACATTTCTCAAAATAAGAATTACAAATGGCCAAGAGAGGTACACAAAAAAATACTCAGTATCAATAATCATCAAGGAAATATAAATCAAAACCACAGTGAGACACACCTGTTATAATGGCTTTTATCAGTATGACAAAAGATAATAAATGTGGCAAGGATGTTGGTGGGAATGTAAATTAGAACAGCCATTAGAAAAACAGTATAGAGGTTCCTCAAAAAATTAAAAATAGAACTACCACATGATCCAGCAATCTTACTACTGGGTTTATAACAAAAGGATATGAAATCAGTGTGTCAAAGAGATACTTGCACCCCCATGTTCACTGCAACATTATTCACAAGATATGGAATCAATCAAAGTGTGCATCAATGGATGAATGGATAAAGAAAATGTAGTGTACATATACAATGGAATACTATTCAGCTATAAAAAGAAGAAAATCCTGTAATTTGTGACAACAGGGATGAACCTGGAGGACATGATGTTAAGTGAAATCAGCTAGGCACAGAAAGATGGATATTCCATGATTTCACTCATATGTGGAATCTGAAAAAGTTGATCTCTTAGAAGTAGAGTAGATGGTGGTTACCAGAGGCTGGGGTGGTTAGAAGAAAGGGGGTTTTGGGGAGATGTTGGTTAAAGGATATATAATTACAGTTAGATAGGAGGACTAAGTTTAAGAGATCTATTGTTCAGCATGGTGACTACAGTTGATTATGATATACTGTGTTATTGAAAAATGCAAAGACAGTGGATGTTAAGTATTCTTATTGCAAAAATAACCATGAGATAATACATTTGTTAATTAGCTAGATTTGGCCGGGCGCGGTGGCTCAAGCCTGTAATCCCAGCACTTTGGGAGGCCAAGACGGGCGGATCACGAGGTCAGGAGATCGAGACTATCCTGGCTAACACGGTGAAACCCCGTCTCTACTAAAAAAAAAAATACAAAAAACTAGCCGGGCGAGGTGGTGGGCGCCTGTAGTCCCATCTACACGGGAGGCTGAGGCAGGAGAATGGCGTGAACCCGGGAGGCGGAGCTTGCAGTGAGCTGAGATCGCGCCACTGCACTCCAGTCCGGGCGACAGAGCGAGACTCCGTCTCAAAAAAAAAAAAAAAAAAAAAAAATTAGCTAGATTTAACCATTCTATAATGTATATATTCTTTTTTTTTTTTTTTTTTTTTTTTTGAGACGGAGTCTCGCTCTGTCGCCCGGGCTGGAGTGCAGTGGCCGGATCTCAGCTCACTGCAAGCTCCGCCTCCCGGGTTCACGCCATTCTCCTGCCTCAGCCTCCCGAATAGCTGGGACTACAGGCGCCCGCCACCTCGCCCGGCTAGTTTTTTGTATTTTTTTTAGTAGAGACGGGGTTTCACCGTGTTAGCCAGGATGGTCTCGATCTCCTGACCTTGTGATCCGCCCTCCTCGGCCTCCCAGAGTGCTGGGATTACAGGCTTGAGCCACCGCGCCCGGCCTATAATGTATATATTCTATTTACTTCAAAACATCATGCTGTACATACATATGTACCATTTCATCTGTCAACTTTATTTTATTTTATTTATTTATTTAATTATTTGGTTTTTTGAGATGGAGTCTTGCTCTGTTGCCCAGGCTGGAGTGCAGTGGCATGATCTCAGCTCACTGCAAGCTCTGTCTCCTGGGTTCACGCCATTCTCCTGCCTCAGCCTCCCGAGTAGCTGGGACTACAGGTGCCCACCACCACACCCAGCTAATTTTTTGTATTTTTAGTAGAGATGGGGTTTCACCGTGTTAGCCAGGATGGTCTTGATCTCCTGACCTCATGATGTACCCGCCTTGGCCTCCCAAAGTGCTGGGATTACAGGCGTGAGCTACCATGCCTGGCCTGTCAACTTTAAAGTGAAAAAAAAAGAAGTTACTAAATGGCAGGACTGGTTCTCTCTGATAGCTCTTTAAAAATATGAAGACAGTGTGTTTTTCCTTAAAGTAATCTTTTCTGGTATCAACTGTAAGTATTCTATGTAGGTCAGTTTCTGGGATACCCTAGTCATCTATGCATGAATTACTTTTACTTTGATCAAGTCCACTCTAAAATGTATTATCCATTTTCAACACACTATTTTAGATATGGACTTAATAGAAAAAATCCAAAGGGCATGAGACTCACCTTCAAGAAGGAAAGAAAAATGGAATAGAACCACATGAACAATTTATATATACATTCAGTACCATTTATATTTATCAAATTAAACTTTGACACACATGCCCAGCTACTCTTCCAGAGTGATCCTGTCACTTCTCCACTCACAAGCCTTCAGTGGCTTTCCATTTCATCCAGAGAAAAGCCTAAGCCCTTACAAAGGCCTGCAGGGCCTGTATGCTCTGGCACCCTAGTTCCTTCTGTTCCTCATCTGTTATTCCCTTCATATTCCAAGGCAAGAACCTCTTAGCTCTTCCTTGTGTATCCCAAGCAAGTTCTCGCCTCAGGGTCTTTGTACCTTTTTTCTTTCTCCGACTAGAATGATATCCCTCAGCAAACAACTGATGAGCCACTTCCCCATTTCCTTCAGGCCAAATGTCACCTTAGTGAAGCCTACCCTGACTGCCTTATGTGAAACAGCAACTCCAACTTCCCAATATTTCCTGTGCTCCTTTCTTTGCTTTTCTTCATAGTCCTCACTCAATCTAATATATAATTTATCCATCTGTCCATCTATTAATTGATTGATGCCTTTCATCCTCTTGCTGAAATGTAAGCTCCATGAGGATAGGACTTTTTCATGTTTTGCCCACTGCTGTCTAATACTGCCTGGCAAATTAAATGCTGATTATTATTAGCACAGTATCTGACATATAAGCTCTCAATAAATATTAGCTATTATCACCAAATTATAAGCTTTTAGCAGTTTATTCTGAAAATTACTAAACCACAGGCATACCTGGTAAGACTACAACATACATAAAAATAAGTATCAGAAATTAATAGCCACATAAGAATACAGCACCTTCAAAATATATTTATTCCAGTAGTATTAATAGTCACATAAGAATATAGCACCTTCAAAATATATTTATTCCGGTAGTATTTAAATAAAGTACTACATATTCTAGCACCATAAAATTCATTGTGAATTGTGCTTACAAGTCATATATAGTAGAGGTTAAGTATCCCCATCCAAAATGATGAGGACTAGAAATATTTTGGATTTTAGAATATTTGCATTACTGCCTGAACATCCCTAATCTGAATATGCAAAATCTGAAATGTTCCAGTGAGCACTTCCTTTGTGTGTCATGTTAGCACTCAAAAAGTTTCAGATTTTGGAACATTTCAGATTTCAGATTTTCAGATTAGGGATACACAACCTATATAAAATTTGATTACTTAGCTTAATATCTTTAATTTATATCAGTGGTCCTCAGTCTTGTTTTCCATACTACACTTTGCAGTTCCATTGAGAACAGTTTTCTCTACTACACTTTGCACTCCCATTGAGAACAGTGGCTCAGTAGAACAGTGATTCTCTGCTAAGTAGGGGGAATGTGGTAGGTAGTGGGTAAGGGTGGGTTGTCTTGAGTTGAGAATTACTAGTCCACGTAATGGAAACACATTTTTAAAAAGAGTTGTCATTCAAAGGGAATAAATGAGTTACACATATTTAAAAAAAAAATCAAGTATATGTCACAGATCCATTTCTTAATTTATACCCAAATATATACTTAAAAATCTCTTACAAGTGTGTTTTCTCCATTGGAACTATTCCAGAGCCTCATTCGATTATCTGTACCAACAGTGAGGAGGTGAAGCCCATCACTTGTAAAACATAAGCCATTAACTTTCCCATTATGAGCAGTGTTTGCTGCAATGAAAAATATGGTTCAGTTTATCTGTTCTTGTATTCAGGACATATTTAATGTTTGATGATATAATTATTTAAACATATTAAAGGACAACTACTTGAGTTACTTAAAAAATGTAAGTAGATTATACTTAAAATTAACCAACCCTTCAGATTATTTGAATAGGATAAACTATATAAATCAGAACCATAAAAATAGAGGAAAACAAGAAAAAAGGGAAAAAATTTCTGCCAAACATCCTTTTTTTTTCCAGCAAGGAAGCTGTGCCATGAAATTCAATTAAGTGTGTAGCTTAACACTAAAATTTAAAATTAAATGCCTTTCATCTCTCTTATATTTTTATTGCTAACCTAAAAATAACTCCATGGACTATTAAAATCAGTAATTCTAGTGTTTTCCATTAAAAAAAAAAAAACCTTAACGGGAAGGATGACTGTTGTAGTCTCAAAATTTATATCACTTTCAAAATTAACAAGTTCGAGAAAGCATAATTCTAAAACAGCCTAATTAATTTAAAAACATATAAAACATGTTTTATATAGTTTACATGTTCATAAGTTTCTTAAAAAAAAACCATATAAATTCTAACATGAAATATATTAGGATGAACTATATAAAACCTATGATTGTTTTATATAGTTTTTTAGTTTAAAAATACATAGTTTTTTAGTTTAAAAACTTAAACAATCATAGGTTTTATATAGTTCATTCTGATATATTTCTGGTCCAGAATTAATTCTATACCAAAATTTCTACATAGGAATTAAATTCTACTGTAAAAATGCAGTTTAGGTACTTTGTCACATGGATTGCAGCTGACTCACATTTAACACAATTTTATGTTGATACAATGGCCACAAAATGTTACTATTTCTGTAATTTATTGTGACTTTTTAAATGGCATTGAATTTGTATAGCTGGCCTCAATGGAGCAAAAACAAAATAAGTAAAGCAAGTTAATTCAGAAAAATTTCTACTTTTGAAAATTTGGGGGCAAATGAAACTGTCATTTTTATTTGTATCTTAAAGAAAGAGAATCATAAGTTTTTTTTTTACATAAATTAAGAAAGTGATATATGATGAATGCCTTTTTAAAAAATGATAAAGTTCGCAATTTGTCAATATGCATTTATTATTTGGCTTCAATTAAAAATGTTCAATGTGAAAAAATACTATCATTGTCGTATTTCTTCATTAACGTGTTCTTCCTTACCTGATTCAACAGCTTGTGACTTTTTCCCATTATGTTGATCAAGAGTAATCAAACATCCTGATGCTCTTCTCACATCCCATAATTTTACTCTACTGTCAGCACTGAGAATAAATAAATGTTACATTGACATATGTAGCTAGGACAATGACTGTACCCCTCACCCACCTTTCTAGTTTTACGGCACACAGAGGTCTTGTTATATAGGTACGTATGTATTCATACATTAGGGTTGTTGAACTTTCGCCTTTTCAACAAATATTCAATAGTCAACAGTAGCTCAAATTAGTGAGTAAATAGCAAAAAAAAAAAAAAAAAAAAAAAAAGTAACCTTTCTTTTCCAGATAACAAGAACAAAATTTTGCTACTTTTTATACCGTTTTAAATTACATGAGCATCTTTTCTCCCAAGGACCAGAAAGGCTTGTAGCTTGTCCCTAGTAAGTTCCTTACCATACCTTCTCTACCGCTTGTTATCCAAATGCTGTCAAGACAAGCAGTTAACTAATTTTACTTTGCTCAAGAATCTATTTGCTATGATTTGGTGTTTTTTTCCTTTTTATATAAAAAACGGTAAGAGTTAAGGTGAATAATGAGGACAATGCATTTCCATTTGGTTTCCTATACTCAAATCAATCTTTGCCATATATGAGAGAACTATATTTAATGTTGCCTAGAAATTAAACACTTACTTCTATTTTCTTTCAAGTAAGCGAAAAGAAGAAAAGTAAATCTATGATCAGACATCTATTTCAGCTTCTAGATTATTTCTAAAGAAAAATGCCCGGCAATCCAATGTGCTCCTAATCAGTTCAACTGATGCTATCATGTCCTCACAAGGACCTCAACAATATTGTAACCCAGGGGGCTATTCAATGTCATTTTAATGAGAGAGCACTACATTACATTTTTATAAGCCTATTTTTTATTTATAAGTTTAAAAAAAATATACACACAGGGTGTACTGGTTTCTATAATCTCGATTCTTTTCACAGATGATCATCAAACCTAGCCAACTGGAATAGTCAGCAAAAAGCTAGCATTTCCCATTCTTAAGTTGGTTTTCTTTCTTTCCAGGTGAGGGAAACGAAATCAGTATGAGGATTTACGTTTCTTCTGAAACAGATTAGATTTGAACATATCCAACTTTTAACACTGATTACTAGGTCCATTCTGGTACTGATTCAAATTTCTGGAGTATTCTTATAATTGAAAGCTTCTTAGCTCTCCTCTTACCTGATGAAAACCAAGTTAAGCATGAAAAATGTAAAATCCACCCAAGCATAACCAGCACCTAGTTCCTAACCTTCATACCTCTTTAGCTAGTCTTCTTATGGCTACATTATAGACCTTGCTGCACTTTAGAAATGGTAAATTTCAACATCACATTCTGCCAATTATTAACAGAAGCTTCTTTGGGGCCTAAACTGTGGCAGGGAGCGAGGGCTGGAAACTTAAAAAAAAATCCAGACACAGATCTTTATAAAATTAATATGAATAGCTTTTGTAATAATTCTTCTTCTACTTAAAGCTTTATGAAAATATATCAAAATATTTGATTACTACTTCCTATCCCTTCAGTTTTTAAGTTTTCTTAGTCTAACTCTCCTACTTCATTAGATCCTTGATCCTTTCTACAAGTCTTTTTGTGATTTTATTTTTTTCCTTTTACTCACGACTTGTAAATTTTCAGGCACTGAGGTACTTTCCTGTAGACACTGAAAATTGTTAAGCCTTTCATTTAATGTTTTAATTTCTGTGGCTTATTACAGCTGTGCTCTACATCTTCAACTGAGAACAACTGCCCAGTAATCCTATGTGCCCTTAATCAGCTCCCTCACTCTTTCAATCTATTATTCCAGATCCATACTCTTTCCTCAAAATTGCATTCTCATTCCTATATTTTCAAGAGGTGACATCAAGTTCTACTCCACTAAAAACCGAGAAGCCATTAAGTCTGAATTTCCTGAGCTTCTCTGCCAAAGCTACAAACTTGTATCCACGTTCACCTTTTCCTTTTTCCATTTAGTCTCACAGTGCTCTTCATGTGCCAAACTAGGTGTCCCCTCCACCCTCATCTGGATCCTCGATACTAACCACTTCTGTGTATTTGAGGACCTAATGCACCAATTATTCCCTCCATTTCTTATCTACACCTGTTTCTCTCTACTGGTACTCTTTCCCCAGCATATAAATATGCAATACTCTTTTTTCTCCAGCAAACAAATAAACCTCCCCACATCTTTTGATCCTCTCAGAGTTAAGTGATCCTGTTTTCTTTTCCTATATTACTCCTTCTAGAGATGTACCTCTATTAAAGCATTTTTCAGGATGCCCTGTAATCACTGATTTTTGACTATATGCCCCATTAGATCATTAGATTGTTGGCTTTTCGAAGCCTTAGTTACCTGTGTCCCTAGCACAACGCTTGGCATGTGGGAGGAAGTCATTAAATATCAGAAAATTGAATCAATTAATGTGTGGATATATCACATTCAAAAGAATTCCAGGTTAAAGATAATGCATAAAAATGCTCTATTTAAAAATTTGCAGTGTTATACTTTTGTGTGTAAGAATGACACAACACAGTTCCTCTGTGTTCTAAGGTGAAACACCTTGAAAGTGGATAGGATTAGAATTAGAATACAAAGGAAGACTTCTTTTGGTGACATGAATTAAAATTTCTAACTCAAGACTTCATTTTAAAGGAGTGAATTAATAATTAAATATGCTAAAATATATACATTACATAAATGTAGACTTTTCAAAATGCTTATTCTTAATTACTAACTTCAAAAGCAAATAATTTTACCTTGCCGTTGCCAAGATATAGTCATGACGTGGCGACCAGGAAACTGCTAATATTTCTTGTCTGTGACCTGCAAATACAACTACATGAAAAGTCTTGCAAGATATCCGAAAAATCAGAAGATAAAGTGCCAATAATTTTGCCTGATTCTGAAGAAAGTGAGGCTAAACACTCAATGTGAATAGATATGGTCATTTCTCAGATTTATAATAATTGACATTTCAATGCTAATGTGAAGTTTACAGGAGTAAACTTTTTGCTTTGGAAAAAACAGAGTTAAGTAAGTCTTTCTTTTTAAATACAGTAGTTAGCCTATGGCAGTAAATCCATATAACTTAAGCTCAGTTACTGTAATAAAATATACAAGATAAACATTTTAAAGGATAAAAATGTTTCCCAATTTCTCATAAAGTTATGAGAAAATTACTTTAATTCATGATTATAGAAAAGCATTTATATAAAATGTTTTTTTTCTAGAAAGCACAGGTGATAAGTTCAAAGGGTAAGTGATTTCAATATTTTAATTCACTTTTACCTAACTGAACTATTCACATAAGACATTTCCATCTGCTCAGCTTATATTAATAAAAATTCATAATAATGTCAAAAATGCTACCCATCTCACCAACTTTTCTTAATATATTTGTTATATGTTTCTTTGAGATGACTAAAAATATATAAATTATATTCTATCTTTTCATTGTTTAGAATTAGACAATCTAATACTGATAAAAGTAGCAAGAATAATTTAAATACACCTTTACCAAAGAATTACTTCAATATATTTTTCTAAAATGTTTTTACTGAGAAAAAAATGTACCTAAATATTAAGAACAATATTTACTCATTAGCCAGAATATTAAATAATACATGAGACAAATACACTGATGTGAGTTGCGTTAGTTTTTTTAAATGTAGAAATAACGCAAGGTTTTGAGTTAGAACTATTTTTCATATCATTTGAGCTTCCCCAATGACCACTGTTCACATAAATGTCTTTTCAGTGGTTCAGTTTTATAAGAATAATGCACGGAAGGATCTTTATTTCTCTGCTGACTTTTAACAACTAGCACAAAGTACATCAGTCATGTCACTTACAAAGAATACATTGTTAGTAACGTTTCTTTTTATTGAATTGTTTACTCAAAGTAGTTGCTGTTTGAAATAAAATAAAAATACCCTGTAGAATGTGAGAACAGGATCCAGACTTCAAGTCACAAAGTTGTACTTTAGGTCCTCTAGTACCAACTGTAAAAACAGAACCGGTTTAATTTTATCATAAGTTATCATCAAAAGGAAACAAGACATTATCATTAGTAATCATGACATTTTCACTGTATCATGCAGAAATATAAAGATATATGCCAAAAATACATTGTCATTTTTAATGTTTACATTTAGAAAAGTTATTTTAACTACAGTTATATTTTAGTAGTAAGAGACCTCTATTATTCCATTTATTTTTTATTCTGAAATAATTATAGATTTGCAAGCAGTTGCAAAGCTAGTATAAAGAGAACTGTGTACCCTTCACTAGGTTTCCCCAACGATTATGTGTGAGCTTACTAAAACACAGTATCAAACCCAGGAAATTTATATTGGTAAATGTGTACCTATGTATGTATAGTTCTACTCCATTTTATCACATCAAATCATTGTATTTTAAAAGCTTAGTTTTTCCAAGTTAATGATATACTTTCAATCACTAGTAACAGATTCACGGAAACTCTGGACACAGACTGAAAGGACCTCAAAGACAACTTAGTTCCTAGCTCTTCTTTACAGATAAAAGAGCTGACTGATATCCAGAGGTAGAGACTCACGTGATGCCACAGAAATAATGAATCACAGGGCCCAGATACCTGATACCAGAAAATCATTTTTTCTCCCTTATAATATGAAGATGTTTGTTGCAGTTGCTTTTATATAAATTGATGCTTAATTTGAATCACAATCTTAGAGAAAGAAATAATTTTCTTGTTTTATTGTGTCAAATTGGGAAAGCTGCCAAATTTTATTCATGTAAAATCTCTGAAACTTCGGTGGTTTAAAAGGAACTCTTTAGAGGACAGAAATATGCTCTTATTCTCTGAACCCTGGCCACTAGCATAGTGCTTGCCTTGTACAATATCTGTTGAACTGAATATAAATAGTACATATATATATATATAAAGAATTGTGATATTCCTGTGGGTTAAAATGTCTACATCAAAACTAACTAGAAATAAAAAGGGAGAAAGTTTTCAATATTTCAAAAGACAAAAGAATACACTCACAAACCTGCTACCAAACAGTGCTTGGTGGAGACTGGAGACATATGATGACTATAAACTGTTTCCTCAAAATTAAATACATCTGCAGTCTGGTAATCAAAAGACATTAAAAAAGTATAAGGTTTAAGTAAAAAAGCAATAAGATTTCTATTTACTTTTCCCTAAATTTATAGCTATTTTTAAATTGACTGTTAGCAATTCAACTTAAACATAGGAATGTAATACCCCAAAAAACCTTGTTAATTTGAAATCCTGTCATTTACAACATTCTTTTCCCTTCTATGAGAAAAAAATATGTTTTCCCAATAAATCCCACAAATTAAGAAAATACAAGCATGTGCCTCTCCATATTCCATATTCCTGGTGGGGAGAGAGCTCAGCATCTACATGGATGATGTAGTCAGCACTGCATCTCAGTTCCATATAACCTGAGCTACCACACCCAGGACACTGTCACTACCTAGAATTGCCCCTTCTTTGAAATCATACATTTCAGTTATCTATGACCACAGTCTTCTATAATTTTCAGCTTTTCCCCACCAAACTCTCAAGAAATCCAAATAAACTCTGGAACCCCTATCAGTTCCTTTCATCTACTTCTCTTCCTCTCCAGCTTGGATTTCAAAGTCCAATACCAATACCAAAGTCAACTGCCAATATCTGCAATTCCTTTGCTAATATCCTTCCATTTGTCAAGACTTCAACCCTGGGCGACTCCAAATGTCTGCCTTCTCTGTACTTATATCCAAATTGACCTACATTAGGGGTTGGCAAACTTTCTGTAAAAGTCAGATGGTAAATATTTTAGGCTTTCAGGACCAACTACTCATCTCTGTCACTGCAGTGTTAAAGCAGTCATAGACAATAAATGAACATATTGTAACTGCTCACCAGGTTCTTTCTGCCTGCTGCACAAACAAAACCAATTCACAAAGACCATGGCATTGCAGTAAAGAGTTTAACTGATGCAAGGCTGGCCGTGCCAAGTGGGAGATGGGATTTATTAACATTAATCAATCTCCTTGAAGTCTTGTCGGTTAGGGGTTTTTCAAAGGTAGTTTGAGGGAAGGGGTGGGAGTGGTTAGGCAATGAATGGGTGCTTGCTGTTGACTGGTTGGGGGTGCAACCATAAGGGTATGGGGAATGGCCCTCTTGTCCACTGAGCCACTTTTGGGTGGGGCCACAGGGGCAGTTGGTAGGTCCAGGTGGTGCCACTGGTGTCAGATATGAAAAAATCCTGAAAAGATATCTCAAAAGGCCAATCTCAGGTTCTGCAGTTGTGATGTTATATACAGGAGTAATTGGGGAAGTTATATATCTTGTGACCTCTGGAATAATGGCTGGCAATCATTTATGTCTCTTTATTTATTTATTTACCTATTTTTGAGACCAGGTTATGAGATGAGACTGGCTAATTTTTGTATTTTTGGTAGAGATGGGGTTTTGCCATGTTGCCCAGGCTGGTCTCGAACTCCTGGGCTCAAGCAATCCACCCTCCTTGGCCTCCCAAAGTGTTGGGATTACAGGTGTGAGCCACTGCTGAGCCTATATCTTAGCAGAATTCAGGCTCCTCTCCTCCTCCTAGTCTGGTGGTCTCTCATTAGCTTTACAAAGGTGGCTGAGTTTTTGGAGAAGGGCTATTATCATTTAAACTATAAAATGGCTGGGGGCATTGGCTCACTCCTGTAATCCCAGTACTTTGGGAGGCCAAGGTAGCTGAATCACTTGAGGTCAGGAGTATGAGACAAGCCTGGCCAACATGGTGAAACTCTACTTAAAATACAAAAATTAGCTGGTCATGGTGGCGGGCGCCTGTAACGCCAGCTATATGAGAGGCTGAGGCAGGAGAATCGCTTGAACCTGGGAGGCAGAGGTTGCAGTGAGCTAAGATCACGCCATTACACTCCAGCCTGGGCAACAGAGTGAACCTCTGTCTCAAAAATAAATAAATAAGTAAATAAAATTAAAAAATAGAGTATTAACTAAATGTCTTCCAAAGTTAGCTTGGCCAAAGTCCAGGAATAATTAAGGCAGCTTGAAGGCTAAAGGCAAGAGGGGGTGTTGGCTAGATCAGATCTCCCCTACTGCCACAATTTTCTCACTGATATAATTTTTGCAAAGGCAGCTTCAATATTTGTGTCTAAAACCTACTTTATTTACAAAAAAAGGCCATGAGCCAGACTTGCCCATGAGCCCAGAGTTGGCCAATCCCTTGCTCTACCCAGGTAAAAAATCTTACAATTAGGGCAGTGTGACATCATTATAAAAGAATATTCATTTCCTCTGGATTTCAGTAATGACTGCCAGTCCCACTATATTTCACTAGTATTCTTCTCTGCAGTATTCCTCAGCTATTTCAAATCTTCTCCACAAATATACCCACTCAGTCACAACAGGTAATCTGATCTTTTATTTCAAGGAGAAAATAGGAGGCACTCAATCAGAATTTCCTTAATGTCTTACCAACAAACCTACACATTTACTTCCACTTATCCTTTTTCCTTCTTCACTCCTGTTATCATAGAAACATGATTCCTCAACCCCGCCTTTTTTTTTTTTTTTTTGAGATGGAGTCTTGCTCTCTTGCCCAGGCTGGAGTGCAGTGGCACAATCTCAGCTCATTGCAACCTCCGCCTCCTGGGTTCAAGTGATTCTCCTACCTCAGCCTCCCGAGCAGCTGGGACTACAGGTGCCCGCCACGATGCCCAGCTAATTTTTGTATTTTTAGTAGAGATGGAGTTTCACCATATTGGCCAGGCTGGTCTTCAGATTCCTCCCCATTTTTAATGTTAATCCCCCTACTTGTGTTCAGATTCCCTTCAGCACTGTCAGAAATCGCACCCTATAGATTATCTTCTGGGTATTTATAACCTCTGTCCCCACTGGCTCATTCCCAACAGCACTAAAAGTTCAAGTCTTTTTCATCTTAACACCCCTTCCCTAAGACAAAAACAAAGAGCCTTTTCACCCTACGTTCTCCCTAATCTTTCCTCCTCTTCAAATCCAAACTTTGACTATCTCTAATTCCTTATCTCCCATGTATTTCTCAACTAATTGCAATCTTATTTTTATTGCACTACTCTAAATCATACTACTCTTCCAATATTACCAATAACCTCCTCATCTGATTTAATCTGTTCGTAGCATTCAACACAGCTGATTACTCCCATCTTCTTTAAAGCAATCTTTTACTGGCTTCCATTGTATCATATATTCCTGATTTTCCTTTCTCTCCTTGGCTACATCTTTTCATCACCTGTAGCAGAGTTTGGTTTCCTTTTTCTGTCCTATTTATCTTTGTCTTCAAGGTTTTGTTCTATGCACCCCTTTCAATTGCCACTTGTATGTTATGGGTTAAGTATCCCTTATCCAAAGTAACTGGTACCAGAAATGTTTCAGATTTCAGATTTTTTTTGGTTTTGGAATGTTTGCATTATACTTACTGGTTGAGCATTCCAAATCTAGAACTCAAAAAAACTTCAAATTTTGAACTTCTGGATTAGGGACACTCAATATGTAGTGAGGCACAAATCTGTATACTCAGTGTAGACTTCACTCCTGAATTCTGGGTATGTATAGATCGATTCCTGGATTATCTTCATTTGGATTTCCCATAAATCCCTCAAACTCAACAAATCAAAAATTGAACTCATCATTCCAACCCTTCCCTATCTTAGTAAATAACAATATAATCCACCCAATTGCCAAGCTAGAGAACCTGGGGTCATTCCTATACATATATATATATGCGCATATATATATATATAAATATATTCCTATATATATATAAAAATAATGGCTTTGTCAAGATAAAATTCACATATCATACACCTTGGAACCCATAAAAAGTATCACTAGTGATGCTGCAAGTGGTCCCAAGAAGCAGAGAAAAGTCATGACATTACAAGAACAGGCTGAACTGCTTGACATGTACCATAGATTGAGGTGTGCAGCTGTGGTTGCCCACCATTTCAAGATAAATGAGTCCAGCATAAGAACCATTGTAAAAAAAGAAAATTTGTGATGATGTCACTGCAGCTATGCCAGCAGATGTGAAAACCTTGTATGTTTTGTAAAATACCTTTGACCTCTTATTAAGAATCCAACTTTTATGGGGGTGCAGGATTGTTAAAAGAAAGGCATATCGATATATAGACTCTAATATGACTTTTAAAAAGCAAAGTCAATATAGTCATTATATGACAATGTGAAGCCAAAGGAAAGTGAAGGATCTAAAGCTGGAGAATTTAATGCCAGAAAAAGATGGTTTGATAATTTTGGAAAGAGGTTTGGCTTTAAAAAAGTCAAGATAATAGGATAAGAAGCTTCTGCCCACCAAAAGGCAACAGGTAAGTTTCCAGATATCATTAAGAAAATCATCGAGGACAAAGGATATCTGCCTGAACAGGTTTTAAATGTAGACAAAAATGCCCTATTCTGGAAAAAAAAAAAAAATCCACAAAGGACTCTTATGATATGGACCCTTCGATGATATGGGCTCTGAAACTAAAGCAAATAGTGGAAGAAGGATCAGTACTGTAACAGAAACATTTTTAGAGAAATAAAGCAGAACACACAGAAATTACGACGTATTTCCATAGTTATACCAAGTGTGCCTGCCTTTCCTTCCAAATCTTCTTACACCTTTTGCTACCCTACAGACAGCAAGGTCAACCCCTCCTCTTCCTGCTGCTTCTCCTCAGTCTACTCAATGTGAAGATGATGAGGATAAAGACCTTTATGATGATCCACTTCCACTGACTTAGTAAATATATTTTTCTTCCTCATGATTTTCTTAATAACATTTTCTTTTCTCTAGCTTACTTTATTGTAACAATACAGTATATAGGCCAGGCGTGGTGGCTCACGCCTGTAATCCCAGCACTTTGAGAGGTTGAGGTGGGTGGATCAACTGAGGTCAGGAGTTCAAGACCAGCCTGGCCAACATGGTGAAACCCTGTCTCTACTAAAAATACAAAAATTAGCCAGGCATGGTGGCACACGCCTGTTGTCCCAGCTACTTGGGAGGCTGGGGCAGGAGAATCACTTGAACCCAGGAGGCGGAGGTTGCAGTGAGCTGAGATCACGT